CCAGAATTCTTTTTTTTTTTTTTTTTTTTTTTTTTTTTTTTTTTTTTTTCTGTTTTTCCTTTCAGTCTTTCTTGCCTCCAGTAATTCCGGCTGCTTGGACTGGGTCCATCCTGGGGGTAGGGGGTGACCCCTGCCTCAGCCCCACGTGGCTACTATGCCCGTCACGGCCCCCGGGCCCAAGAGCACCAAGTCTCCCTGGCCATCCACCTGCCTCCAGGAAAGAGCGGAGGACCCTCCTTTACCACAGGAAGCAGCAGAGGGACAACTAGGTACAGTGGTGACAAAACTTGACGGCCACACAGGGGGCCTCTCAGCTGAGCTGACTTTGGTATCGCCCGCCGCAGCCTGACAGGGCACAGGCCCACACCTGTGCCCGGCTGGGCCTGGTCTGGTCATTTTACATTCACTGGTTTAATTTTTTTTTTCATTTTTAAAAAATTTTTCCCCCCGTTAATCTCTAAAGGCGGGGTGGGGGGAGGCAAGGAGCGGCATCTGGACGGGGATGTTCCTTTCTCTCAGGGGTCCCCACAGGCTGGGGCGCACCAGGCCAGGGTCTCTGGCCGCGTTCCCTCCCTGGACTCCGGGGACCCCTGCCTGGAGCACCCCAGCCTGGACCTCTTGTTCTCTCACACACAACACTCGCGCACAAAGTCATCCAAGCAACATCACCATGAGGATGGAAATAACAATTTCACTTTTCTTTTTTTTTTTCTTTTTCTTTTTTTGTACCAGGCAGTTAAAAAACGAAAACAAACAAACAAACAAAAAAAAACAAAAAAAAAAACACAAAACAAAAAAAACCCAAACAACCAAACAAAACAAAAACCCCAAAAACCCTTTCTGCAGCATCCTCCCAGACACGTAAACCCGACCCTCCTCAATCATCTTTTCCTGAAATTCGAAAAGTTCAGCAGTATCTTTGGCAACACTTTATCACGACCTTAATTTAAAGAATAAAAATAAAATCGATCCACGTCTATATACAGTATGTGATTGCGAGGAGCCGGGGTCGGGGCTGGGCTGGGGGTTCGGGGGTCCCGGCTCCGGGCCCATGCAGATACTGCGGCCCCCAGGACTGGCTGGCGGTTAAGGCAGAGTAGTCGGGCAGGGGAGGCAGAAGCTGGTGCGGAGATAGGGGTGGGGTTTAGTGCAATTCCCGAGGTTTGTGTTAAAGTGTTGCCGCCAGGCCGCGGCCCCCTTTCCTACCAGAGTCCCCACGGACCGTCCCACAAAGCCGGTGTCCTCCACCGGCCAAGATGACATCTCTGATTTGCGAGTTGGTTTGACTGCGTACAGGGTATGTAGCGGGGAGAACTCACCCCTTACAGGACTTCTCAGATGGGGCCAGGCTCCCCTGCTGGGGTACTGGGGTTCTCTGCTCACCCCTCCACAGTTACTTCTCCAAAACAGTTCGCCTGGCGACACTGGGGTACAATCATGGCCGGCACCACCCAGCCGCGGGCCTGGCCCTTCTGCGGGGCCTAGAAGGGAATCCTGAGACATCTGGGGGAGCTGATGGGTTGGGAACGGGAGGGAAAGAAACAAAAACTCTCCAGTAAAAACAATATAAAAAAAATGGCCTTCTTAAAAAGCTTCCCTTTAAAAACAAAAGCAAGACATAGGACGTTTGTCAGACAGGGTGCTGGGAGAGGGGGCAGGAGTGGGGACTTGCAGGGACACCCCTCCATGCCTACCGAGCCTCGACAGGAAGGGGGCCTCAGCCCAGCAGAGTTCTATCTCTAGGGTCCCACACTGGGCTCTGCACTGGCAGGACGGGGTCGGGGCGGGGTGTCATGGCGTCTGGCAGCGACATCTCCCCAACCCTAGGCCATGTCCGTGGCCTGTGGCCCGGTGTTCATCGGGCCTTTTGGGGGCCAGAGGTTGAAGGGGAAAGCAGGTGCCAGTCCCCGGGTTACAGTCAGTGCCTTTGAGTAAAAAGAGGGTGCCTGGAGAGGGAAGTGTAAGGCCCTGGAGGAGGGGACCCCGTCCCGTCACCCCTTGGGGAGGGACTTGGAAGGGCACAGCACATCCAACATGGCGGCCCCTGGGCGGCCCCACGGGAGGACGGCCATGCTGGAGGGCCGGGACGGCGAGGACACGGGGCAGGCGGTTGGTCCGGCTGGTTGGGAGGCCAGTCCTGTCTCGGGCCCATCCCTGAGCTGGGCGGAGAGGAAGAAGGTGCCATGAAAGAGGTGGCTGTCAGGCAGGTGCGGA